CCCTCCCGCAGAACCAGTACATCATGCAGCCGCTGCTGGAAAACATGAAGCTAGATGATGAGAGCGAGGAGTTTGGTGCGTGCACGGCCCTCCTGGACCCCCCCCCCTCCTTTGCCTGCCACTCCGCCAGCTCCCCCTCCCTTTGCCTTTCGCCTGACCCCTGCTCGGCGCCTGCCCGGGCTCCCATGCTGACCCTGCCGCGCACAGAGGTCACGCGGCCCCTCCTGCCGGACAACCTGCACATCGACCTGGACGATGGGCAATTCATCTTCACCGAGAGCCACACCACCATTCGCGGGCATCTGGTCAGCCTGAATGAGTTCGACCAGAACTCGCGGCCGACCCTCCCCCCGCCGGCCGGGCTCGACGCGTCCGAGTCCACGGCCGGCCTCTGGCCTCCGGCCGCCGATGGGGCAGAGTACATCGATGTCCCCACGCCGTTGCGCAACAACTTCTACCCGGATTCTTCGGCGGCCTACGGCATGCTCGGCTCGCGCATGTACTTCGATGTGTCGTACCTGCGCCGGCGGGGCCCCCAGCCCCGGCGCGTGGTCCCGGCGGTTTTCAACAACCGCAATGTCGACGTCCACTTCCCACGCAGTGCGTGCTGTCCGATGCCGGGCCCGCCGATTGTCGGTGTCCTTTTGTTTCTCTGACCGACCCGCGTGCATCATCCTGCCCCTGCTGCCGGGGGCGTCTCTCTTCCTCTCACCTCGCCCGTGACCTCCTGTCGTCTTGTGCCACAGCCGGCGAGAATGAGGCCCTGATGAATGAAATCGAGATCCTTTGGTGCGTTCCTCGATGCCTGGCGTCCCTCTGCTTGGTTTCCCTTCTTGCCCTTCTCCTTTCTCGGTCCTCCCCGTTGCCTGCCCTTCCGCGTCCTCTTGGCTTGCTCTTCATCTCTTCCTTGTCCCTTTACCCGACGCCCGGTCTGACACCGCCCCTTTCTCCCCCCCCCCCCCCTCGGCCCCTCGGTCCCTCGGTCCCTCGTCCATCGCCCCATTTCACAACAGGAAACTCCTCCCCTCGCGCAACGTGGTGGAGCTGATCGGCTATTCGCAGGTCCCCTCCGATGAGTATGATCTCGACCGCGTCAAGGACGAAGGCATGGGCGGGCTTTCGCCGCCACCGCCGCCAGGCGGTTCACTTGGGCTGGATCTCGAGGCCGGCGAGCCGACCCCCCTGCCCGCGGTGTCGCACCTCGTCACCAATGCCATGATCGTGGCCCAATATCCGATGACCCTTCGCTGGCTCATCGAGCGGGAGAGCCTGTTCGACGTGTTCGGCCTGGCCATGGACATCGGTACGTTGGAATGCCCGGCCCCATGCTCTGCCCCCCCCCCCCCTTCCCCCGCCCCCCCTCCCATGTGCCTGGCCCCTGCCGCCTCTCTTGCAAGTGGCTCACCGCTCCTCTGCTCGCTCCCCTGTCTTCTCTCTCTCCCTCTCCCTCTCTCGGCCCGGGTCCTTGGCAGCTCGCGGCCTCATGGCCATTCATGGTGCCAAACTCGTTCACCGGGCCATCCGCAGTGAGAACATCTTCATCGAAATGCAGGACGTCCGGTACCTCCTCGACCCGTTCATGGACATCGGCCGGGTGTCCGAGCGGAACTCCTACTACCACCATGGTAAGGGCAGCACCGGGGCCAGCTTCTCGGCCGACCCGGGCGCCAGCGCGCTGCCCATCGTCCTGGCCCCCTTCCTGGACCCGGCGCCGGATGCCAGCAGCGGGTACGGGGGGGACGCCAGTGCGCCATCCTCGGCCCGGGCATCCTTCGCCTCGGGCCGGGATGTCGGTCGCAGCTCCACCTACTCGGCTGGCGGGACCAGTGCTCGGCCCTCGCTTGCCTATAGCCGGCCTTCCGGGGGCTTTGGCCGGTCTTCGTCGGTGGCGGCGACGGCAGCCGCGGCCGCGGCCGCCGCCACCGCCGCCGCCGCCTCCCTCAGTCGGCCCTCCTCGCGGGCCATGTCGCGCTCGGTCTCCCGGGCCTCACTCCACCAGCGTGGCCGCGAGGGCTTGTCGGTGGCCGAGCGCGAGGAGGAGGAACGCGCCTACCTGGCGGCTCTGTCCGAGGAGCAGGCCCTGCGCATGACCCTTCCCCGGCGTGTGGCGCGCATTGGCGGCTTTGCCGATGCTCGCCTGCCCCTGTCGGCCATGGACCCGCCCGTGGTGACCACCGCGCGCGAGGCGGCCCACGCGTCGCCGGAGATCCTGCGCGGCTGGCGCAACAACACGCCGGTCTATCGCGACGAGTGGCGCCAGTCGGACATCTTCGCCTTCGGTGTGGTTGTCTGGGAGATGCTCTTCCGCGGGACCGCATGGGCTGGTGCGTGTGTCTGGTGCCCCTGGGCCTGTCTGTCGGCCGTCCCTGTTCCGTCTCGCCCCTTCCGCTGCTCGGCCTCCCCCCCCCCCCCCCCCCCCCTGCCTGGCCCTGCCTGCTGCTTTCATCCCCTCGCATCCGCCCACACCTCCGCACCTGCGCCCGCACACACACACACACACACACACACACACATCTCCCTCATCTCTCACTCACACACCTACACACTTACACTTACACGCACACACACACACACACACACACACACACACACACACAGATGAGACCGCCAGTACCATCGCCGACCGAGTCCTCGTCGGCGATCGCCTTCCCTTCAGCTTCGGTACCGAGGGTGCTCCGGCACCCGGCTCGCTGGCCGCCGTGGCCTCCATGCCGGGGAGCGTGCTCGCGGCGCAGCAGGCCGCCCGCGCGGCTACCCTGGCCCTGCAGCAGGCCGCCGCACTGGACCTGTATCCCCCCGGCACAGTCCCCTCCACCGCGGCGCCCTCCCCCTCGCGCCTGTCACTGGACCACACCGGGGCCGGCGCCGGGCCCGGCTACCCCCCGGCCATGGAGCACTACCACTTGGACTCCGATGGCCCGGCCCCGGGCACCGGAGCCTTCGGCTCGTCCTCGAATCTGGCTGGCCCCGGGCCCGGCGCCGGGGCCACTTCCCCGACACTGGCGGCCCTCTCGCGGCCCACCACCCCGGGTCCCTTCTCCCCGCGGATCAGCATGTCGAGCGATGGGACTCCGGCGGCGGCGGCCACCGCGGCGGCGGCGGCGGCCGCTGCATCGGCGGCCGCTGCCGCCACGGCGGCCATCACGGGCGCCGCCCCCGGCGCCCATGGGCTCCCCCCGGCGCCGCTGATGACCGCATCCCAGGGCGGCGCCTCGGCGCCGGTTCTCTCCTCGGCCGCCCTCTCGGCCTCGATTCAGGCATCCCCCTCGACACAGCGGCTGATGTCCTTCGGCCGGCGGGGCACCCTCTCCCGCGGCCAGTCAGGCAGCAACGCCGCCGGCACCAGTGGCGGCGGCGGTAGCGGCAGCGGCAGCGGCGGCACTCGTGCCGATGCGCAGCGCCGCATGCGCCTGCCAACCGCCGACCCGGACGCCACCTCCTCGGAGAGCGACAGTGACGACCGGTCCGGGTCCGGGTCCGGGTCCGACTCGGACTTCGGGTCTGATTCCGACCCGGACCTCGGGCCGGATGGGCGCTTCGGCCGGACGGCGGGCCTCGGCAGCCCCACCGGCATGGACGGCGGGGACTTCCTCCTGACTCGGACCACCGACGGGGAGTCAGCCGCCGGGGATGGCTCGGACCCCGGGTCCCGGCGTCCCTCGCACTATCTGGAGCGCTACGAGAGCTACGACCCGTCTCCATATGCCGATGGCATGGCCATGGGCCCGGGCCAGCAGGCCGGCTATGACAGCGACTTCAATGGGTCCGCCGCGTCACGTCGGTCGCGGGCCGATCGTCGCGCGGTTCCCGAATCCCCGCGGCCCTCCTTCGGCACGTCGGGCAGTCTCCTCAATCTGGACCCCTTCCGCATGGCCAGCGACCTGATCCAGGGCGCGCGCAGCCGCAGCCGCAGTCGCAGCCGCAGCCGCAGCCGCAGCCGCAGCCGCAGCCGTGTGGCATCGGCGCTCAGCGGGGGTCACCGTGGGGACAGCCGCAGTCGGAGCACCAGCCGCGCCGGCACGCGCCTCGTCAACCCGGAACCCGAGCAGGTCCTCGAGTCCATCCTCAACACGGACTTCGATGAGGTGGCCGCGCCGGTGGCGGGCCCCGGGCCCCCGGGCCACCTGCTCGGAGATCCGGACCTGGAGCCGACGTCCGGCAGTTCGCTGCAAGTGGCGGCCCTGATGCGCGGGTCCTCCGATCGGTCGCTCCTGGGGGCTGGCATTGGCGGGGGGCCCGGGGGCAGTGGCCCGGTCGGGTCCATCGATCGGGCCGGCGGGCCCGGGTCACTGCTCGGCACGGCCGACTCCGCCGGCGGGGGAGCCCCCTTCACTCCACACATGGACTTCGACGGGACCGGCTCCTCCTTCGATCATGGCATTGTCGAGGCGGTGAGTGGCTTCACCGCTGGCGATGGGCAGCCCAGCGCGCACCCGGCCACCAGCGGCAGCAGCGGCATCCCCCCGGCCGAGGGCGGGCTCCATGCTCCCCGGACGGATGTGCTGGTTGATGCGGCGGCGCCGGGGCCGGCCTCGGCCTCAGGCCCGGGCCCCATGGCGACCGACAGCCGGGCCGCCAGCCCGACCCATCCGGGCCCCGATGTCCCCCTGGGGCCTGGGGCTTCCTTCCCGGCGGCGGGCCTGGACCTGGGTCCCGGTGGGGTCCGGCTGCCTCCCGGGCTGGAGGGCCTGCCCGGGCTGGATCTGCCGCCGGATCTGGTCAACATGGTGGAGGACCACCTGCCGGATGCCGACCTGCCGGACCTCCTGTCGCTGAAGTTGGACTTTACGGACCTGCAGGCGCCGGGGGCCGGGGCGGGCGCCGGGCCCAGCCCCGGGCCCAGCCCCGGGCCCATGGCCATGCCGGCCACCCCGCTGGACGCCACGGGCGGCATGCCGGGTGAGGGCTTCCGGTCGGCCTCCCGGGCGTCGGTCCGGTCATCCCCGCGGAGTAGCTTCAGCGCGCGCCTTGGCGGCGGCGGCGGCGGCGGCGAGCTTGATTCTTCCAGCTCATCCGGCAGTCTGGCCGGGGACTCGGCGGCGGCCATCGCCGCGGCGGCCTCCAGTGCCGGCATCAATCGCGTCCCCTCGACGCATCTGCTCAACTACGACTACGACCCGTACATGCACCTGGGCGCCGGCAATGCCGGGGGGTCGACCTCGCGCTCCGGCAGCGCCCGGCCCTCCTTCTACCAGAGCTCCTCCTCGCTGGGGCTCCCCTCGTCATCCGGGGCCGGTGGCAGCGGCAACGGCGGCGGCGGGCTGGTGTCCAGCATCAGCTCGACGCTGTATGGCGCGGCGGCCATCGCCATGGCGGCCACCAGTGCCGTGACCAGCCTCCTGCCGCTGGACCACGACGCGGTGGCCGCCGGCGATAACTTGCGGGATTATGTCGAGGGCGAGGCCATCGAGGCCCCGCCGGACTTCGATCCGCTGGTCGATGGGATTCATGATGTGCTGCTGCCGAGCAGCAGTCGCCTGTCGCTGGCTCTGTCGGCGGTCACCGGGGCCAGCGATCGGGACGATCCCTTCGACCCGGCCGACGCCGATGACCTGGTCCAGCGGCTGAGCTTCGCCGCGCACGGGTCCTTCGGCGGGTCGACCGGGCAGCTGCCCGGCGGGGCGGCCGGTACCGGCCGCGCCTCCGACCGGGACTTCAATGACGAGGCGCTGCTGGTCAGCATCCCGACAACCGCCGGGGCGACGCACGTGCAGGCTCGCACCCCGCGCGAGACCTTGACCCAGGTGGTGAGCTCGTGCTGGGATGTGCACGGCCGGGCCCGGCCGCGCGCCGCGGCCATCGTCGACACCCTGGCCTCGTGCTCCAGCATCGGAGCCGGCGCCCGGCCCGGCGGGGGGTCCAGCGCCCGGCCCAGCTTCGAGCAGGCGTCCAGCCGCCGGGGGTCCTTCGCGGTCAGTGGCCCTGGCAGTCGCCGGGGCTCCTTTTCCGCCAACAGTGCCCGAGCCAGTGCGACGGCCAGCCGTCGGGGCTCCTTCGCCGTGCCCGGCCAGGGCGGTTCCGGCCCCGGAGCCACCTACTCCCTCAGCCAATATCGGTAGCGGCGGCAGCGGCGGCACACCCGGCCACCTCGCTGGTACACACCCATATGCATTCATTGGCACCTCCTCTGTGACCACCCAGTTACAATAGAATCCAGTTTAGTCCGCGTGCACACGTGACGCCTGTCAAAGATGAATAGCCCACGATTGCGGGGCCGGCTTGCTGGCCCGTGAATGTGTGGACGATGTCCAGATCGCATGGGCAGCACCCGCCGGGCGGGGCCCCGCCGGCCCGGGCGGCTGGGGTGTGTGTGTCCGTGGCCGCTGGGCGTGCACTTGTCGCATGTGCGCTTGTTGCATGAGTGCGTTTGTGTGCGTGTGTGTGTGTGTGTGTGTGTGCGTTTGTATGTCGAACGGGCACCCTTCTTTCGGCCTTGCCCGCGGGCGCTGGCCAACCAGGGGACCCCTTTCCTCCTTCCTCGCCGGTGTGTGCGCCAGTCTGGGGTCCATGCCAGGGCACGCTGGTGGCCGGGATAATCATGTTGTGTGCAGAGGGGCCCGGGCCCACGAGCGGGCCGGATGGGGTGTCTTGCTTGGTCGGCAGCTCCCCGGGCGACGGACCCTCCTGCTCGCCGGAGTGAGGGGCCCCCCTCGGGCGCACTCCTCTTCTGCTGAGCCAATCCCAGGCGACCCTGTCTTCTACGCGCGAGGGGCGAGGCGGGGGGGGGGGCAGGGGGGGGGCGATGTGTGACCCGCCTGGCTGCCGTCTGTCGGGCCAGGGAATCTGGCGCCCGTCCTGCCCTTTCCCGACCAAGCTCATTGTCGGCCCCTGGCCCGGCCACTTTCATGCTCCCTCTCTGCACATCCACCCGCGAGAGCGTGAATTCCGGCCTGGGGACAGGGCAGCCCGAGTGACCTCGCCCTTGGGGCAGAACAGGATGGCTTGAACAGGGGGCTTTTTTTTCGCAGGCCCTTTCCCTTGTCCCCGGGGAGCTCGAGATGTCATGTCGCCTGCCTCACCGGCCCGCCCGACCGCCACATATCTGGGGCATTTTTCGGCCTATCACATATGGCAGGTCTTGACTTGGCCGGATGTCCTCTGGGCGCAATCGGGGCGCGGCGGGGGGGGGGGGGCAACAGCCAGCCATATCGCGACATCCAGGCCTCACACTCGGGGAGATGAGTGACGCCAGAGCATACACACACATACACACACACAGACACGCAGGTCTACACGGTACTCTGCCGACCAGTCTCCGGAGGAGCCCGCCCGCCAGGCATGCGGCTCATCTGTATTGCTCTCCGGCACTACAATGCCGGCTGGCCCTGTGCATTATTTGTGGCAGACCACTACGTCAGGCAGTTGCGCAGCACTCAGGGGCACCCCGCTCATTCCTCCCTCCCTTCTAAGCATTGCACAACTCCCCCGCCTTTCGCTCCCCCACTATTGCCGGCGGCTCGAACAGTCATCCCCCAGAACACACACGCACACACACACACACACACACACACAC